TATTGAAACTTTTGAAGCCCTAATAATCCTTTTAAAATTTTTTTGCAATAGTTTTTTAATTTTCTACTCGCTATTTGAAATATATCTTCGAATTTCCCAAATCATTGACCACATTCACTGGTACGATAATTCAAAGTCTATTTAAACGGTGAAAAATACAGACCACAAGATATTTCACCCAGAAATATTTTCAGTTTTGTAACCTTAAAAAAACGAAATTCTTGCCTTTCTAGGATGGCCCTATTACATCTTAGAGAGATTAACTATCTTATACGCTATGTTTAATTTTATAGGATTTCTTTTCTCACTGTTAAAAGGAATCTATAACACATGCGCTATACACACAAGTAAACCGCCAAGCAAGTGTAGCACGTATATTTTTTGCAGGATTTTTTGGAATTTTTTCATCATCAATCAATAAAATACTTCTAGAAGCACAAATAAAAGAATATAATACCAAAATATCCACAAGAACAAACACATATAACAAAGATCATAATAATGTAGATACAACACCTAGAGCACCACAGATACCAACCCTACCAAAAAACCATCCAATATCATTAGTTCCCCGAAATTTTCGAAACTTAGCAATCACAAATAATCCAAAATTTAGAACAAATACAGCACAAAGTCCCATTCAACACATACTGACACATCAGTCACAAAATGATAATACATCTGAACAAATTATCAAACAACCTCATACCACCACTTTTCAGTCTCAAAACAATCATTTTTTTAGCCAACGATGAGCCGACAAATTGGATCCCTCCATCGCTCAAATTCCACCCAGCCAACCTCCAAACTCAAATCCCAATTATCCCACTTTTTGCTTTCCCGCCACCCGATTCTAGGGTTATTAATATATCATCAAGCATGAATTTTGATACTAACTCAGATATTTCAGTTTTTCATACCATCTCACAATTTAACAACTCCGATGTAGAAACTCCCGACGAATTCGCAGACTCCGAACCATCTCCTTCTACCCATACCCAGACCAACTATTCAGTTTTTTCAAAACCCCCCTTTCGACCCATCCAAACCAGTCATCCATTCCCATCCCTTTCCACTCCTTTTTACGCTTCCCAAGTAACCCCAACCTATTCTCCATTTAATTCCGATAGATCGCATAATAACTCCCCAGATAACATTCAAATTTCTGAAGAACTTGACAATTTTATCACACTACAACAACACGTAACTTACCCCCACACTCTTACGATACATCAATTATCATCAACAGTAACATCATCAAATCCACAAACACCTACACCACTTTCAGATTACACTCCATCATTAGCTCAATCATCCACATCCACCGAAACATCTACCAGCACTAACCGAGCTTACCGCACTTTTAAACGAAAATTCCCAAATCACCCATTTAAAACCAAACTCGGAACAGCCAGAGAATAAATCAACCACCCAGATCACACAAACACAAAAAATTACCTTCAAATAACCCTACCCTCATTTCCACAATATACCTTAAATACTTCTACCACTATTAATGAAACACGATAATTTGTAGATGAGCACAATTCAATACCAACACTTCATTGGACAGCTTACTACAATTATACTAACCCCCTTTATCTACCACTCACTAATACTAATGAAAATATCGAGAAAAATAAAAATTTGCTATGTAACTCACCACATCAATAACACCTCGACAATTTACATATGTTGGATATAAAAAATTATTAAAAACATTCGCCGCACCCCGAGCTATCGATTGCTCAATTGAATACTACGATCATAAAATCATCCGTCCTAACAAAGATCAATTTTTAGACGAAGACCGCTTTGCAAACCTGCAACTAACCGAAATTTTTTAAAATAAATTACCATACCTATTTACACTTAATATTTTTGATAAAAAGCACGATCATATTATTTCAGAAGCACTAGTTGACATACAAGCATATGAAAGCTTCTATGATAAATTTCAGTTATTTTCACTAACCTTTCACTTTCTTTCACCACAGGAACGCTATTTGCAATGTTACCAAGATATAATGTTACGCACTAAACAAACGCACACTTATACATATTATCGTTTTATACAAAACCCTTTTGATTTACAGACAACATCACGACAACCCCACCACCGTTTTCAGTTTATTAACTCGAAATACACATCACCATTCTTTCTTAATTTTACATATTGCTTTAAAAATGCTAAACTCCACGGCATCCTCCGCAACTACGACCCAGTTACCCAAATGTATATATTCTGTCCCATCACGAAGACCTTCAATGATGAAGAATCAAGACCCTTCATTATCCCGCATGAACTCATTCAACCTATCGAAATACCCATACTAGAATTTATTCATAACACTAAATATAATCATAAAGTTTACAACCTAATCCAAAACACACCTCATGAATTAGCAGTAGGCACAGAAGAACTAAACATCATCAAGGCACTTCAATTGCTTTGGCCACTGCTACAAACTAAAAATGTCATACGCATACTAGCCAAGTTATGAACAACATCAGACTTGATTCACGACATCTTCCCACATGGCTTTTTCCCAGATGAATAAGGTAAATAAAAATTAAAAAAATTTTACTTAATAAATTCAAAATTGTACTAACCGTTTTCTATAAATGTTTAATTTATTCTTTTAGTCTTCACACCACAACCATCTACAAAACAGGAAAAAGACAAATAAAAATACAAACTTGTTAATTTATAATAAAACTCCTGAATCTTTCGCACTAAATAATTTAGTAAAACTCATACCCAATGTAGTTAGTTCATTTATAAATTATTTTCCCAAGAAGCAGTAAAACTAAATTCGATGAAAATTTATAATTTTAAACTTTTCCCAAAAAGCAGTAAAATTCAATTTCTAAGTAAAAAAATTCATAAAATGAGAAAACAGTACTAGGCTTTTCAATATTTTCATTCATTCGCACCAGAATTCTATCCAAACTCGCACAGCTCAACCACGAAGAATTGTTTAAATAAAGGTTTTATGTTTCAAGTTTTCACTAGCAAGGAATAACAAGTTTCAAACTTTTCTTTAACCCGGTTGGAAAGGAATTATATACTAAACCAAACTAACCAACGCAGCTTACTAAAGACCACAAATCATAAAATAACAGCATGACTAAGAAAAGAAAACCAACGGTACCGAAACCGGATTAAACCAGCTTAAAACAGGATAATTTATTCTTTTGAAGACTATTATAAAGTCTAAGAAAGATATCATAAAACACAAAAAAGTCGTAAGACAAACCCAAACCAAAAACAATTTGATTTTTGAAAAAAGGACACAACCAAAGTAACATAAGAAAGAATAGAAAAAACCAACATAAAATGTTATCACATAACAGGACCTTTCAAAGAAACAGCATGAAATCATACTCCCACTCCTGGCCTAACCCACCAGAGAAGGACCTCATGAGCGTGCTTATGGACGGCCTAACCCACCGCGCTACACCAACGCTTTGTGACCACACTTCAATTTTTAATAAGAGGTACTCAAGGGTGAGTAACTCTTCAAAATAACTGAACTAAAATTAAAACGCTTTTGTGAAAACAACTAACTAAGATCCTGACTAAAAACCAAATTAACTAAAATTTATAAAATGTAAATCATAATATGCAGTATATAGAACATACACAACAACAAAAACGAACATCCAAAGACTACACGATCCCATCACACTCGAACAAAAGAATGGCTAAACACAACCGACATGCCGTCCACGATCACGACTCAAAGGATTTAGAGTACGACTTGACTTCGCAGAAAAGGACTTCATTGAACTAGACCAATGACCACCTCGATGTTCAGATCCAAGTTACAAGGCATCCCTTCCAAACACGATTTTCACGCCATTCCCAGACGAGGCTGCACACAAAACAGTTCTCTACTAATACAGAAAAATCTGACATAGCAAACCATTTTGAAATCGGATTGATTTCATTGGGGATCACAGTCATTGTCGAATGACAAGATAACAATTTCCTATCCCTAATTCCAGCGTCCTGGAACGTTCTTCTTCAAGAGGAACCGGATAAGAAAATGATGTCCGCCAAATACCAACGTTCATCATCCATCCTTCAATTACAGAAAGAAAGATAATTCTAAAAACTCTGTAAACCCCGGATGGGTGGAACCTGATCTAAACTACATTTTATTATTGGTTAAATTAGATATTTTATCACTACAAAATATTTAAAATTAACCAATTATATTCCATCTAACTAACGATCCACTTATTTGTAAGTGCTGAAATTACTTGTAATTTCAGCACCAGAGAGATTTGAATTTAACTTCGAAATTAGTTACCTCTCCGAGAGAACTTCAGCAGTCGCAATAAGCCAGTATACTCTAGATCTATTGAGCCTAGCAGAGACCAGTTAAACACCCTGAGACTAGTAGATATAAGAGTAAGATTAGGATCGGTATTAGACTAAGAAGTTGCACGAATCTATCCGGCCGAAAATAAGATAGCGTGACGAGCACACGGTGTACCCTATCCGAAATTACTCTATGAGTTATACACCCTATCCCTTAACTCAGTTGTCTAGCCACTGTTTTTGCCTACTAATATGCCTAAGTTCTGGGCTTTTGTTTGGATCCTCTGATCTCACCATGACCTAACGGATTTTTTTTTGTACTATTATGGCTCCAGTTTTTTGCTCAGTCAAGCTAAATCAGTTGCATCGGCCACTTTTTGTAGTATATCAGCTTTTTCAGTACACGAAGGTTCCTCCATTTGTCATTTATTTAAAAAATATATTTTCACTCACTGTTGTTGAAATTTTTCTGAGAAGCTTTGGCTCAGTTTGTAGTAAATTGAGGACTGAGCCTTCACGCAAATACATTTTTTTTCTCGAAAGCTTGAAAAGCTAAAATGTTTGACTCAAAAACATTCAGAAGAACGGACACTCCCCCTCTCGAAAACTTAGATCCTCGTCTGGTCAGCATAACTCTGAGAAATAACGTTTTTTGCTGTTGTTATTTCAGCACTGCAAGATGTGAAGGTGGTAGTGGAGCTGGCCAGTGTGTCAGCGGGCGAAGTGGGGTATGAACTGGACAAGGTCAAGTGTTTCCACGATGCAGTCTTCGGATACGCACCCTTCATATTCGATCTAAACACGCAGAGTCGCTGGCGTGAAATGAAACTGGCTTACAAAAGAGTGTTTTCCAAATTGAAGACAGATCCTCGTTTGCCCGATAAATACGAGGATAGCGCGAGGCATTTGTCTTGGTTTGAAAAAGCAATAAACAGCCAAGGATCAGGGGAGAATAGTTCACTCGAAAGGGCATCCCAAATCAATGGCACTGGTCTGTATATAGTAAAGTACGAGCCAAAATCCGAAAAAAGTAGGAAAATTCTCGTCGAACCAGAAGATGTCGTGAAACTGCAGTACAAAGAAAAAGGCGAGGAAAGCATGCAATTTCGAACAATGAATTTGACAGAGTTGCGGGACCTTCTGAGTCGTTTGATGTTGATTGCGGGCAAGGATAAGGAGGATAAAGCGGAAATCGTCGACGTTTTCATAGCTATGTTTCAAAACATCGAAAGATTGGCGTCTTCATTCGTGACTTTGTATAACTCTGGCTGTGCATTTTTCAATGGATGGGCTGTTAACATCAAAACTAAATGTGACGAAAGCTCTTTGATGGAAAAGTCTTCTTTGAAAATTTCATTAACTGAAGCTGGAAAGGAGTTAAGTCTGAATACCCGTGAGACAATTACGGAACTTTCATTCCTCTGCGTGGTGCTCGAGTCCATAAAAGCTAAATGGGACCAGTATGTTTTCAGCATGCGATGCAGACATCCAACGCTAAATGAGTTCAACATGCAACAGTTGAAGGCCCTTTGCTCAGGGCTAGCCCAATTCAAACGAGATCAGAAAGGGATAAACGTGAGCACAAATTATTACCTCCAGTCAATTAATCAAAACATCACCCAGAAAGAAATTTTCAAGTTTTTGAATGAAGAGTACACTGATGATGGCATAGAAACTGAAGAAAGAGATTTGGCTGATAAATCAAATCAGTTGAATACCCTGGAAGAGTTAACAAACACAAAGTTAACTGATGAAAGAAGCGCGTTGCTCAACATGATCGACTGTTTGAAAGTTGAGTTCGATGGCGATGAAACTCTAATTAAGGCTGGAATCCAAGCTATTCGAAATGAGACGAACGATTCTGGTGGTAATTTTGAAACGTCCAGCGCTCAGAACTGGATTACGAATCATAGAAAAGAGGCTGACGTTGTCAAGAATTTATCCGAGCAATTCGACGATTATTTCTCTTCACTAGATATAACTGGAAACACTGAATCTGGCCTGGACAAGAATGGAAACAAGGTTGATGTTAGCGAGTTTGCGCAGAAGATGGAACGAGTGTTTGACAAATATCTTTCAGGGATCAAGAAAAACGCTCTAGACAATTACGTGAACCTTTCCCAACTTGGTCACGTACTAAACAGGTGTCTGGCAACGAAGGCTGGAAAATCAGGCGGAGCATTGAAATTCCCCGGACATTTGAAACAAGGGAATCCGAACTTGATAGTTTGCGATAAGCGTTCAGATGTTATTGTCCACCTTGTGTCGCTGTACAACTATGTGTCGCAAAATCTACCGTGCCTCAATCAAGTTTTGCTGTGTAGCTCAAGAACGCCAGTTGCGGAAGTCGAACTGTTCATTCTGCGGGCTCTTTTGGATCCTCTGGACAAAGTGTATGCAATAGCCTTTGCCGATGAACTAGATCCAGCGTGTGGAGATCAAATAGAAAAACTGCTCTTCGAGAAAGTGAAATTTCCAAACTCGTCTTACAAACTGATTGTTTTCAACTACGACGAAAATAGTCAGGTTTCGGTCGTTTTGGAGAAGTACAAAAGGCGATTGGAAAAAGAATCTGAACAAGATTTAAGAGATTATCTTTGCCGAAACTTGAAAAATTCGGAAAATCCAATAGATAGCTTCAGGACTAGGCTTGTCACTTCATCACAACCGTCTTCAGGTATAAAATTTACTAAAATATAACGCTCATTTAAAAGTTCGATCTGATAATTAACTGTTCACGCCAATTTTTAGAGAGAGTTTTGCTTTGATTTCTATGCAAACTCGATCACCAAATAGAAAATCGTGGTCAGGGGTATAATAGTATATAATATCTAAGTTTTTTCATTCCTGATTTGAGCTAAGATTGAAAACTTCGAAACAGTTTGTCCAGTCGCCCCACAGAAAAAATGGGTGGTTTTGTCTTCCCGTATTTCTTAGTGCCGACAATTGCCGACAAGTAAGAAATTAGCATTTGTTCACGTCCAAATCTATGTTTAAAACAGGCGCTTCACCTTTTCCTTTCTTTTAAACTAGCTAATTGGAAGGGTAAATGGTGGCACTTAGCATAGTGGTGAGGCGTTCACTTAAGGTCGTCAGAGCGTGTAATCGTTACCCTGCCGTGGCAATGATAATGGGAGAGGACGAGCTCTCACTTGACTTCTAGCTCCAGGTCCACCACAGCCTGAAAACGTCAGCAGCTGCAACATTGGTACCACGTGAAATTCTAGACGCTTCCTTCTATTTTTTTCCACTTGTTTTTTTTTCATTCTGATTTGAAGGATGGTTTTTGAAAAATATATGAAAACTTTCTCAGTTTTGAGAAAACTGAGATTATTCAGCAAAATTGAAATAATGACAATACTTTATTAGCTAAATGCATAATTGATTGGATCTTGAGCGAATAAACCAGGTAGGTGAAATAAAAGAACATTACGTTTTCATTTAAGACGTGCAAAAAACTTCATTTAAACTCTAGAAAACTCATTTTTAAGCTTCAATTGGCGCTTCCCTGGCATCGGATAGTTTTTTTTGCATATATAAATAATTTTTTGCAACTTGAAAGTTTTTTTTTGTTTGTTTTGTTACTCATTGTCTGAAGACAAGTTTAGCCAAGTTTCCTAATTTTTAGCGTTCCAAGTTTTCATCCAATTGCTCGCATCACATCACGCACAGAACGTAACGCAAATTCAAGGAAACTGTTTTTTGGAGGTTGTGAAGACCTTGGTGGTTTAAACTTTGGCGCTTTCATTTCTGATTTTCTGCTAAGTTTTATACTTAAAAGTAAGCAATAATCTACAAGATAACAGCAAAGTTCAAAAACACGCAAAACGTGATGAAATTCTAATTCGGATTTTTCAAGACATATATAAAGCAAATATTTTCAAGTAGGTGTTTGTGATTTTGTTCTTTTTTGTGTCAAGAACAAATCTTCAAATGCTCTTATCATTACAAATGTGCAATCATACATATTGATGCGTTTCTGAATGCACATATTTACATATGCTTTTTGGAGTTCAAATCACATTCATCTTCTTCTTAGGTGAACTGCGATCTCCAATTATGAAAGCTGTAATACCGCAGAAAATAGAAACACACAGATTTCCCTGATGAATAAAAAAAGAATTAATGAGCCAGTGGTCTCAAACTGGGTCAATTTTATAGCATAAGTTTCAACCACAAGTTGTTCTTGAAAATCAAAAATTGTAGAGTCCATAATTTTTTTTCAGGGAAGTTCAAAAATGAATTTTTTCTAAAGACAAGTCAGTATTTGCAACCGGTTACTGGAACTTTTCCCCTAAATACCATTGTTCACAGAAAGGTCAAATGGTAATCAGTGCTTTCTAGAACGGGTGATCTAATAGAATTCGGTATTAATATCGGTATTATATGCGGACAGTTAAATTCTCAAAAGAAGTTTTTGAAAAACCTAAATCACTCTCTTGAGCCTTCCGTTAAAATAATTTTAAGAATAAACATGAAAAGTTGTCAATTATCTTTTTTTGGCTTTTAGTTCAATTTGTTAATGTTGGTCGCTAACTTTGTTATATGGTTGAAAGAACCGCTGTCTTTATTACCGTTAGCAAACCGGAAATATGTTTTTGTTTCCGGGCTAATTTGCTTAACAAAATTGTTGAGGTATTTGCTGACATAACTATTAGTCTATCAAGTTAGAGATACATTATTGGAAGTTTGGTTTTATTAAGCATGTATTGTTTATTTAGCAGGTACTGGCCAGGAGCTACTTTTTTATGAAAAGGTTTTTTTTTCTGGGAGAATTTGTTGTATTTTGTTTGTGCTTTTGTTAATATCATCCAATTTTTGTCCAGCTGAAACAATTTTTGCTAGAGATAACAGAGCGTGTGATTTTCTCCAGCAATTCAAAAACTAGCGATAAGTTTGTTTTTGTGTAAATTATTTTTTCTTTCCTGTTTTACCTTTTTTTATTGAAAAAGTTAACTGGGCCTAAAAGATTTCAGCAAGAACCGACTTAGTCATATTAGGTAGTTTCAAGGGCAATAACTTTTAAAAGGTTTTCTTGTGCTTCCAGAAGGGCTAAAATATCAATTTGCTCCATTTTTAGACCAAAATGTTGAATAGTTATTTTGTTTATCAGTTCAACGGTTGTATGCCAAAGTTTTGTCGGTTAAGGTAGCGCTCGATAATTCAACGCTGTTGATTGTGTTTCTTGAAATCTGTTCCTAAAATCAAACATCATTCCAGGCAACGTTTTATTTTTTAGATGTCAATTTTTTAATGTAATTTTTTCGCATTTTTTAACTTTGTTAGCATCGCAAGTGGTGTAAAGCTGTGCGTCGCATCTGAGTCGATTATGCCGTAAGCGAAAATGTAAAATTACAGTGAGCAAAAAGGAATATGATTGACTTTGAAAATGCTCAAATGCTTACAATCAGCAAACTGAAAAAATTTCATATCAATGGTAGTTTAAAGAAAATTAATCGGGTAGACCAACAAGGCCTATGGTTACTATTTTTTTTTTCATTAACAAAAGGTTGCACCTTAAAGTGCAGTAACAGTAGCGAACTGAAGACTTATTGCGGCAACATGCAGCCTCCTTTTGAATTCGAACTTCTGATTTCTTTTCTAAAGTGCCCTCTCGTTGATATCAAGTACGGTTTTAAATTGTTAACCGACGAAGTGAAATACCACTTATTTAGGTCTAACTGCTTTTCAAGAAAAACACGTTCATATTTCCATCATGAATGACTTTTAGTCTAAAAAAATTGGTGTCAATTTACATATTGACTTTGTTCTCTGTAACTGGGCACATTCTAGGTATCAATAGTCCATCCTAGAAGATTCATGAAAGATTCGGATTTTCTTTTTTATCAATTATTTTTTGGTTATGGTTCATTCTAAACATCCTCTGGTTTTAAGGCAAGTCCTTGCATATCAATCGATTGGAGAGCGAAGTGAGAAAGAAGAGCAAAGGGAGTTCTCGCCTCATTCAACGTCTCTATGACCGCAGTGTGGACTTCACTAGATTGCTGGACTTCCTTTGGGAACACAAGACACGTTCTGGGCCGACTATTATTCACTTGGACGTATCGCCCAATGTAAGTCATCAACCATGTGGTTCAATGGAATAATGTTTGTTTCGTGGGGGCTGTAATGTAGCCATTTCATCCAACTTTACAAAGAAAGAGAACATGTGTCTCCAAAATAGTACAAAATTGTTATTTAAATCAGCAAGACAAGCACTAAAATGCAGAGGATAATCAACTCCAATTCAACCATTTTATCGGAAATGTGAAGATGATCCATAAGGAACCATCATTTTAAGGATCACCATATAGAACACCTTTAGCCAACCTAACTTACAATAGATCTACTCCAATCAAACCATCTTTCGGGAATCTGAAGATAATTCACAAAGGCATAAAGTATGCGCACTGAGAGTCTACCCTTGGTCATAACAGGTGCAGACACTTTAGCTATCATCAGCATCAAAATTTATCATCAGCATCTCACATTTCACACAATATAGAACGTGCAGTTTTCTTGACTACTTTGCAAATATGAATGCTCTAAAGAATCAAACGAGAACTGAAAAAAATCATGTTTTTTTTTAAAGTTTTACAAAAAACGGAACATCTGGAAAACTAGGCGTTGGCAGCTCATTTTTCCAGGCTCAAATTTTTCAGGCTCAAATCTTTAAAACAGAGAAATAGCACTCAACGATGAGGTTAACAAATGTAAGTTTTTTTACTTTTTTTTCAATAATTTTGTTCAAATTTACTTCAGGAAATAGCCGATAACTCAAAAACCGGGCGATTTGGATCATCAATTTTGATCAGTACTCTAAACGTCAATTAGATTCTGGCATTGGCTAGCTAACAATCCGTACATTGTTAGCTAACACTTCCATGCTAGTAACACTTCCATGCTAGAAATGTAAATGGGTTCACTGATAGCACCAAAACAATGGTTTTACAAGGCAAAACATTTTGAAAATGAAACTGAGGCAAAAAAAGCCAAAACTTAAGGACTAAAAGGCGCGTTACTGGTTAATATTTATTCAAACTAGCTACCAATAAAATATTACGTCTGAATTGCTTAAAATAAATTTCATAATAATTTGAAATAGTGTATCTAAATACTCAACACTGATAAAAATTAACTACATTCGCTTTACAATTGACCAACTTTGACAGAGTTCTGAAATAAAATACCAATATTTGTCACTGTCGGTTGACCAAAAAACGCACAATATAATTTTCAGAAAAATGCATATCATAAAATTTTGTTCAATTCGATGCGTATCAAAAATTGTATGAACATTTTTCGATGAGTTTATTATGAGTCGAAACTGTTGGATAATTGTTCCGACTTTCGATATGAAAGTAACGGAATATTTGTGCTCGGGGTGGGTTTTTTATTCTTCGGACAAATTTCGACTTTTTAACTAGCCTATTTTGACGGAATTTTTTTATATCATTCAAAAGGTATTGTTATCTTGAGCTCAAATTTAAAAAGATATTTCACATGTTATCATTTTTCATAAAGTTATGGGGGTTTAAAGATTGCCATTTTGGCCAATTTGGGACAATTAACGCGCGATATATTTCGCGCTATTAACGCGTAAGCGGAGAGTTAATCCGTCTTAAAATCGTTCCAAATTGGTTGAAAGAAGCTTATTTGCCATAATTGTTTTGTTACAAGGAGCAAAATTTATCCTTTTGTACTTTATATGGCTTGTGGGGGGATGATTTTTATATATATAAAAAAATAAAATGTAAAAAAAATAAAATGAAATTTTTTTTTCTAAAAATTGAAATTTTTAATGTTATTACTGCTCCATAAAGGAACATTAAAGGCTTCGCCATGATACAAACAGTCTTGTTTCTTTATAAACTCAGAACAAACAACCATAATGAATTGGCTTTTGTTACGGTTTAATGAACAAATGATTTCTCGCTTGTCTACTTTTTTGCCAAAAGAAAATCATTTTGCCGTCTGGTTTCTTAGTGAAATTTTGTTTCTCTAGGTCACTGATGAAAATGAACTAGTTTTAGCTATAGAATGACAATACTAAAAATTTTTAATTAATTTTAATTAATTTTTATATAAAATGAGAACAAAATACTATTGTTTTGGTTTTCTTGAGTAAGACTGGTTTATTAATAAATGACAAAGATTTTTTTCCGACTACTTTTTGTTTTTATTTCTTTGTTTCATTTGGCTCTCTAAAAATTTTGAGCTGGAAGAAAATGGGTGCCTTTTGCTACTCAAAAAGTTATGTTGCTTAATAAATTTCACCCCTACAACTTCATTCAAAACTGTTATTGCTAAATTTTTGCTTAAGAAATCCAATGACAGAAAACAGTCAATAATTTACGATTTTATTGAAGATCACAAAACCGATTCTTTCAGTGTTTGATTAATTCGACCCTAACCGAAAAGCAGAAATCGTTTTTTTATTACAAAGAATTTGAATGAATCGAAAGATCAAAATTCAATTTTTGATCAAAAACAGCTCGATATTCTTGAAATTTTGTAAATCAACTGTTTACCCGACAAAAACAAAATAAATGGCTAGCTGAAAAGGATCTATATATTAATTGACTGATTTGTTTTAGTGGGAAAAAAAACTACCGAGTCTTAACGTTTTGGAAGCCTTAGATCAGAACGCATACGAGTCAATCAGAGCAACCATCGAATGTTCTAAAATCTGAATTGTTCTAGAATATTTTTGAAAAGCAATCGGAACTTGTAAAAAAACGATAAACTTGATTCAACTTCAAGGCTAGAGACTACCGGTCCACTTTATGTCCAAAATTTTGCGTTACTGAAAATCGGACTAAAAGAAAGCAACTAAACAAACTAACTCAGAATAAACTAACTTGTAACCGAGTCGCGGTATGTGAAAGAAATTGAAGTACTTCAAACTTTCATAGATTGAATAAGTTGCTTCGAAAAAAATTTTGCGAACCGATTCGCATTCTATGTAAATCTTGAATTATTTCAAAGTTTCGTAGGTGAGAATACTTTACTTAAAATTTTCCGTATAACTTCAGTCTGGAAAATAAATTGAAATATTTCAAAGGTTCAATGCGTGAATAGCTTGCTTGGAAAAACATTTTGCAACCCGATGATTTCTACAAAATAGCTTGAAACTTTTTTTGAGTTGAATAGCTTACTTTTTGCAAACCAATTTGCATTCTATGAAGTAATTCCAATTCAATCCAATTTTCATAGCTTCAATAGATGGCTCCAAAAAGATCATATTTTCGCACACTGATTCGTTCTATGAAAATTTTTGAAATTTCGCTGAGTTTCATTGCTTGAACAGCTTGGATAGTAAAGTTACGCTGTCGCAAAACGATTTGATCTAAGATGGGTTTTTGCTCTGTTTCTGAATCGGGTCCTTTCTCGGTCTTAGTTTGCATTTTTCTATCTTAGTTTGCATTTTAAATAAATGACAGAAAAGTAATTTAGCTGCTATAAAACGCAATGGTAATATGCGAATATTGAGCTCAAAGCTTAAGAAAATCATTGGATTCCAGGTTAATCTGGAATTTTTTCAGTTAGAATCAAAACGAAGTTTCATACTACTTAAATCAAAGCTGGAATATTCAAGAATTGTTTTTATTAAAAATTTGAAACTCTTTAAGCAAAACTAACCCTTTTCAAACTCGAAGCTAGACATTAACTTTCCACTTTCTATCCAAAATTTTTCATCTAAGTTTCATTTCAATCTGAAACGAAACAATTGAAAACAGCAAGAACCATGTTTACGAAAACTAAAATTTGGCAAACGGATTTGCGCAATGCCGACTTGCAATAAAACTTTTTCAATTTTTCAGGGCTTTAATAGCTTTTTAGAAAAACTTACATTGAATTGATTTGATATATGAAAAGCTTTCTTAGAAACAATTTTTCGTCAAACGATTTGCAGTCTATCAAATGACTTGAAATAAATCGAAGCTCCAGAGCTGGAATAGCTTGCTTAGAACCAGCGAACTTCACGCGGACTGACTCAAATTTTCGCGAGCCAACTCGATCCATGACATCCTGAAAAAATTCAAAGCATGAATATCGATTTGCTTCATGAAACAACTGGAAAAATTTTTCAGTTTTGTTAGCTTGATTTGCTTGCCTAAGAGAACCTGAATTTTTTGAGAACTGACTCCCTCTAAATTTCGTAGCTTTCTTAGAAAAACTTCTTCAAATTTGTGCGATTCGATCAACGAAATGACTTGCATTAAGCCCGGTGTACATTAAAGGGCTAGGACCGGATACTCTATAGCCTATGTTAATGCATGGGGACTTCCCGATATGGTCTATGAAATAACTTGAAATTTTTGAAAGTTCCATTGATTGAATGGCTCCAATTGAAAGCATAAAAAAATTTTCGCCATCCGATTTTCTTTGTGAAGTGACATGAATTAGTTCAAAGTTCCATGGTTTGAATAGTTTGATTAAGATAATCATAAAGTTCGCGATCGGATTCGATCCGGTTTTCGCAATTCAATTCGATCTACAAAAACATCTGAACCAATTGGTGGCGTGAGCAGCTTGCTTAAGAAACCCCAAACTTTTTCGAAACAATTTTGGTCTATGAAATAGCTTAAATTATTTCAAAGCTTGATTATCTTGTTTAGGCAAACTTTACTGTTAACTGATTTCCTTTATGAAACAACAGAAAACACTTCAAAAACACGTTGTTTCAATAGCTTGTAAAAAAAAATTTAACTCTTGAGTTCAGGTTGCAAAGGAAAACTCAAACTGTTAAAATACTTTGAAAGATTTCAAAGTTTCACCTCTTGTGTAGATTGCACAGGAACAATTTTTGTGACAACTCTATTACATCATTAGAAAAAATAGGAAAATCATCGCTCGATTAGCTCTCTCAGAAAAGTTTTTCGTGAAATGATTTGGCCCATTAATCAATTTGAAAAGCTTGTTGGAGCCTTCAGTCTTTCGCCATCTGGCTAACATATGTTGCAATAACTCAGCCCGGGGAGGGTGGAGGATGAGGATCCCCCTGTATTAAGGTTGGCTATAGAGTATCCAGTCCTCACTCAATGTATTCACATAGGGATTCGATTTTCCA